AAAGCTGAACATAAGACAACTAGGAAAATAGATATTTGATTTTCAATCAGAAGAAAAAACCAACAATGAAGAAGGCTGGAAGAATTCAATTCAATAAATTGGATGGTGTGGCTCAGCCTTGTAGGCGTGGTCGTTCTTGTGCAACTTATCTCTTCTATTCATGTTAAATATATTATTCTACCTCCAGCTTAAATTCGTTCTCCATCATATATTGGTGACTGTTACGATATGATGAGTCGGTGTAGACAATGGTGTGACTTCCACGTAAGATCTTATAGATTAGGCAGTTATATCACGACAAATCTACAATTTGAGGGTTAGCTCTATTATTGTAAGTAATGTGGTTTCCATTTTGTTACTTATCTCTATTATTGTAGCAGTACTGGTAACAATAACAATAATACTGACGAAGTAGACGGAAATTCGATATTGGTAAGCTAGTCTAAATAATCGCGTTTCATTATAATCAATCTTTACTTCCGTGTTCACTTTCTCGATCGCTTTTTTCCTATTTCGACCCATCACTCCGTTAGCCCTATGGATAATGCTAACATGTATTACAGTATTTTAACGCATATTATTACTGTTATCTTACTGGCTCAATCGATACTAATAACCTGTCATCCGAAATAATTATTAATCACAATGTTTTCTGAACAAGCTTTCATAGCATTTACATGGTTCAGAGAAATAAACTTTTTGAAACATCAAGCTCAACCAAATTAGGCCTTCAGATGACGTATGTATACATTGTCTAGCAACCTGAGCAAGTACTGAGTAGTTATTTGAACCTAATTCTTCATACTGTTTCTTCACTTAACGTTTCACTCTGTTTTAGACCATGGACTATCCTGGAATAGCTTTTCTTTCGACCACTGCCTGCCTGATTTCCAATCCTCGAGCTCCATAGCTAAACAGCGATGACAATACTCCAGAAATTTACGGTGGGTCTAAGCCATAAAGTTTCCGCAATCCAAATCTCGTTTCAGATTGTTTATGAGTTTAAAGGCAAGCATATTTCCAGACTCTGGCAATTTTACTAAATCGACCAAGTGACAAAGTCAATGGCATCACAAACCCAGGAATTGGTTGTCCTACTGCATGTTCAATCTGGTTGCTTATGGATCATTACTACTAGTCACAACTTGTCAAATCTGTTGGATGATCTTATCCGTGAAAACAATCAAGGCGACTTTTGACTATTTTTTGGTGGATTGTCATACATTTGATAGTTCTTAAAATGTATGTATTTAATATATACCACTCGCAAAGCGTTTTTGGTACAAGATATATTTATACTACAACATACTACTATGAAAAAGTGTGTTGTTCACAGACGAAACATATTAGATTGAAATACTCACCGAAAATTTCTTAGTTACAATCGCTTATACCACAAATTTATAAATGTTACTAGGCTAACTACAGTAACTTCTTATTGAAAGTTTATAACTCGTCATATTCTTTACGGAAGTTTCGTAATTATTATTATTATGAAGAGTATTAATTATCTTTAGACTGTTTTATTCCTCATCAACCTGCGTGTTAAACCCGGCTGCACATGCGTTGCATTATATCTCCACGCCTTCTAAATTTAACGCTTCCTGTGTAACAGGATATGGTGTCTCCAAACGCATCCTTCAGCAGCACATGACCTTGGTGATCGACAGTTTTAGCTACATGGCAAGCCTTTGGACAAACATTGTGCAACTTGTGTCTAGGAATAAATTCTTTCCTTTCTCTAACATTCTTGTCCTTAAACTTCCGATACTAATCTACAGAATGCTTACCTGGGCACTCCAAACAGAGTGAACTACGTAAGGGAACATTGTCATCACTAGTACTCGCACAAGATATCCTTGCCGCGTTGTAATCTGCACTAATTTTCCTTTTAAAGCATCAATATCCCTAGTGTCACTATTACTACCGCGGTTGACGAGTAATCCTTATCGGGTATTAGCCATATCAACTTATTTCTTTACAAACTCAGTACGATCGGCGAACAGAGGCTCACGACCACTTCTTATAATCTGAAAAGCTACCTTTAGCCACTTCTTTCGAAGATGCGCCGGTAATTTCGTAACCAGAGTTTCAATAGTTCTAGAAGAGTTCATGTCATAAACGTAATTCATCTGTTTGATTGCCAGACCACATTCTTTCATTTCTCGAGACAATCTTCTTAAAATATCTGATTGATTCCTTCTTATATTGGGAAAATTTAACAAGTTGTCGATGAACGTTCTCTCTACAAGCTTTGGGGCTTGAAGGTAACCAATATCCGGTTCTATTATAGTACAATGAAGGATGGCAGCTTTCGCTCCGCCGTCACAATATTGAATCAACTAATTTGGGTTAGCTCTAAATCCGATATTCTCACTCCCGATGTATTCCTCAGAATTTCTAATAAAATTCCAGTGATTTATCGGTGTACCACCAAATCTTAAGATTTCTCTCTTTGGTAAATACAGATTTTTTTAATATTAAATCCTTGTCGTTGCTTGCAGATCGGCCGAAGCTTTCATTTCCCCGGCGGCGTAACGTTTCCAGCTCAATTTCTTTTTCCCAACTGGGTTATGCGTACCCTATGTCACTCTAGTCCTATGATGCTATTGGTTTTGGGTTTGTCTTTTCGAGTTGGTCCTCATCATAAACTCTCAGATGATTCGGTGATAACTCTGAAATCTCATTGGTATCGTAATGTTTGTTGGAAGTCATTTCAGTAAGTATATCGAATTAACTGTTCCAAACTTTGTAGTAGGTAATTTCCTACAGGTGCAACTCCAAGTTATTCTCTAGACTATCGAGCACAGAGTCTTGGTTTCGCGAAAGTCAGAACAAGAAACTATTTGGCTTAGTAATCTTTATCTGTTTCTAAAACGTAAATTAATAAGATCAGTATACAAATAAACAGTACAGTCGATTACATAGGGAAAGGGATAGACATAAATACCGAAAAGTAACTAGATGATAAGAAAAATGAGTCAACAAGGCAAATACTGTTTCACAATGAACATGAAATTGTGATTGATGGATGAAAAAGACGGTCATACAAGGTCAAAAGAAGTTAATGTGGTGGTGAGCGTTTCATTTCATCACTGGTTGGTTCGTTTATAGATTACACTGTACAGTGACTATCGCCTTAAGTATTTAGGTTCATGAACGGTCTATTATATTATTTTCAGAAGGGGATTTGTGGAGATTTCAGTATTTTTCAAAGTTGAAATCATGAGTCAATTGAAGCTAGACCACCATCGAAAACCTGGAAGCACTGTTATATTATTTGCCAGGGAAGACATTGTTCAGATAATAAAGCAACCAAATTTGGGTACTAGCTTGCTGAACTGATATAGTTGCTGAAATATTACCTACTTATTAGTCAAACAAGCATTCCAAATAAACCGCATGGCCTAGTATTGAAGTTAAAAATTGGTGAACGAATATCTCTGGATCACAAACTATAATATAATCGGACTGCTGAGATCTAATGAGGCTAAAAACCCGTAATGTTTCAGAAGCACCTAAAACAACAATATCAATTTCCAATTGGCTACTCCTTAATCAGCACTATAACTAGTTAAACATAATGGTTTCAGAATATCTTCATAAAGCATTGACATGACTTGACAATCACGTATTATGATTGATAAAGTTGATGAAACTATTAACAAAATCGGTCACCAAATTAACTTGTAATTACTACTAAATAATGCTGTTTTTTGTGGTCATCTTTATCTATTACGGATGATTCCAGTGTGTTTCCCCATCAGTCGCTCATTCAGTCAGTGTAATCGGGGGTTTCTTGGCACAACCATGCATGAAAATCATCAGTATAAGCGGTCAAGCAAATCTTCTACACACTGAAAACACTGTCCAATTTATCCCAACACTGATTAAGGTTCAAGCCATTATCACAGACATGAGTTGAGAGTTGTGGCCCCCCTTGGTTACAAATTATGTTCTCCCTGATAATCACACGAACATCACACACTGTTTATCATCTTGTAAAGATTTTAGTTAGCCGGAAGCATTGTGCAGCACCTATGTTTATGGTACATATGCTTGATGGGTTTCAACAATTTTTAATCGATATATTGATAACTAACTTATGAGAAAATTGATACTTGCGACTGACTTGTATGAACCATCAGCCAGTGAACATGAACATAAATGACACTGAGTCAAGAGCATGTCTCTTACGGATACACTCATGTTTAACTAATTACTGTCAGCTATTTGTCCAAAACTCACATAATTATCACTTTTCACACATGGAAAGAATTTTCGATAACAATTAGTATGTGTTAGTAATATTACTAAATTCTATCATGATTAAGTAGTAATGAGGTCAAGAAAATCTCCCCGTAACTTAATAAACCGTATCAAACCTAAGAAACCAACTAGAACGCTGGTTGGAATTCTTCATTTCCACTGTTATATTTTTGTTCTTTCGGCTAGTCTACTCATGCACATGCAATTGGAAAACAACTGATATGGACAGCTTACTGAAATAGGCCTAAAGATTATGCAAGAGACATCATGAGAAATTTATAATTTGAGAAGTGGTCTATTATCAGAGCTGTAGCAATAACGAAATATACCATAGTAGCTAATATCCACGATCTCCCACACTGGACCAAGACCCAGTACCTTCGGTTTCGAGCACTAACGCCTAACCTCTACAAACCACTGATGCGCATATGCTAGTCTGCTTTCTTTTGTGGAGCTTCGTATGCCAGTGGTCAGTCTATACCACTTTGCAGTCGTGTTTGGCAGCATTTAACAGCGTGGCTCAGGAAAGACCAACACTGATCAACTACAACATATATTCTGCAACATGTACTACATACAGATTATTCACTTCTAATGAGTAGCCTTATTAATTTCTTATCTATAATTGTGTTAAAATACCGCAAGACAACTTGAATTGATACAAGATCATGCCGAATTCCAACTATCGATAGTTTCAATCTTTGAAAGAGGTTGACTTAAAAAAAACCCTTCTACTTCTCAAACGTACCTGATCCAATATTATCATGATGTAACATTTGCATAAATTTAGCTTCTAATGTACGTTGACGTTTTTGTTGCATCGCTGTCTCCGGATCCGATATTGTACGTGTAAATGATGAATTTGGTAGAGTGTCAGGATTCGGTGAAATTGAATTTTTATTGTTATTATTACGATGGATAATATTATCGCCACTTCCATGATGTTTAATTGATCCTAGTAAACATATTAATCGTTCTACTCTTTGAAAGGGTTGACTTAAGTTCAAAAGCCCTTCTACTTCTTAAACGTGCTTGATTCAATACTATTGTAATTGGAAGAAAATGCTGAGAATCTTTTCACAGGAGTCTGTTAAACTGTTTTGTCTTTTACTTTTTTCTTGTCTCTGTTGTTTCATGCTTTATTCATCTTTCCTTTTAATCAGAATTTGTGTTTTTCAATCTTCCTCGTTTTAGCTTTTTTATGTGATTTTCTTAAAGGCTTTCCTTCTGTGACCTTATTTTTGTTTTTCATGTTGCCGAATTATTGACAATGAGGTGGTGTTTGACTGTGCTCAAGGTCATGATGTGTTTCAGTGTGTGACCTTTGACTGTCTGCTTGAAAAGATTGTTGGAATCCCTGAATACATATATGTAATCCCATATTTTTGGGAATATTTTTATTGTTGTTGTTTAACACGCTGATTTGTGTTAGAGAAACTCTCGACTGTATAGCACAGTCTGTACCGTTTGACGTATTCACTATTTTTGATATAATCTGTTTTCGTTCTGAAGTTTGGACCGTTTGAATTGAGCATGGAGTTAGTGTTTTTATTTTATTTAATACGAGTAACTGAAAAACCTTGCAACATGACGTCATAGTAGAAAGTAAAAGCGGAATTGGCTTTTTCTGGAAAAGTAATTTCGTAGTTATTTTCCAATAATCGTAGTTAAATTTCCAAATAATTTTACAGTTCATATTTTCATTCACCTTCATACACTTATTTGGTTGAGTTTCGTACAGTACTCTTCTTTGCATGCATTAACGTGCCTATAGTACCTCTTAACGGATATTGGATCCAATCTCGCCCTTGAAGTTCTATCATTTATCAAGTCCCAACGGTTGATGTTCCGTTAATACAGACTTTTTTTACATTTACATCTCAAATTATGTCCAGGCCATCTAAAAAATATATCATCTCCTCGTCACCTATGGCACCATTTTGATGCATGCCATGACTCCAATGTTTGTTTGGTTAATCGACGTGAAAAAGCTGGTTCTAGAACAGTTCAAAGAACGGTAGTTGAGGGGAGTGCAAATGTTAGGGATTAGAGTAATAAACGATAAACAGAAGAACACAACTATTATGTCCCAAAGAGAGTTTGGTTCCTTAAGGCTACGGGAGAACATGAGTGGTGAAATATCTTCTGTCTTCAATGGTCATGACATAGAGCAAAAGAATGTTCGCCGTTTCGTCAGCCACTCTCATTATGACGTTAGAGACATGTTGTCATCAGAACAACCAAAAACTTACTGGACTATCGAGAAAGAATGAAGATGGAAATGACCCTGTATTTGTTTAGTGTGAGTTTCAAGCTCCTGAAGGAGGAACTAAGTAGTTTTGATGGTCAACCAGCAATGTACCAGAAACTCATTAAACAGTTTGAGTCGTATGTTGCACCTAAGGCCGAAGTTGATGATCGGCAGCTCTTCTTGTTACATTATTGTAAAGAGAAGGCCCATGAGGACATAGAGTAAAACATCATGCTTTCATCATTGTCTGGCTATCGTAGAGCACGCAATATAATGAGACGGTTAATTGTCGGAACAAACGAAGTTACACGGGTGTTGCTAAAAGATTTGATTGAAGGTTCCAGTATATGGCAAAACGACGGAGAAATTCCGTGTAGTCTGGCAGAGGAAATGGAGAATTGTTCCATAGCGTTAGGAAAAATGGATTACTCAGCGTACCTAATTTTTTAGGAAATCTGGAAAGTATAGCGAAAACATCGACCGCGGCGTTACAGATGAAGTGGGTTGAAACGATCTGAAGGAAAGCAGTGGATGGTAAGGAGTCTACATTTGCGGAGTAAACAGAATTTGTGTAATCTGTCGCAGCAATATTACTCATTAGATTTGGAGCCAATAGCAAATTATGGTGTACCAATTTTTAGCAAAACTCCGCCTGTAGCTCCTCCAGGGGCTACTGCCGGTCCCAAGCCCGGGTAAAGGAGGAGGGTTGGGCATGGGGTTAGCGACCCCATCCCGTAGAAAATCAACTCGCTAAAAAAACGCTAACCAGAGAAATTCATTCAAACCATTCAAACTCTGCCCTGGGAGTAGAAGGAAAAATGACGTCTCATGATGAAAGCCGAGTTCCTTCGGAAGTCATGAGGCCGATGCACCTTCTTACAACCAGAGCGACAATTTTTATAGGTACATGGAATGTCCGGACAATGTGGGAGACCGGCAGAGTCTTCAAAATTTCTGCGGAAATGAGGAAATACAACCTGGAAGTGCTTGGAATCAGTGAAACGCATTGGACGCAGGTTGGACAACAACGACTGTCTTCAGGGGAACTTCTGTTATACTCCGGTCATGAAGAAGAAAATGCCCCACATACACAAGGAGTGGCACTGATGCTGTCTAGAAAAGCACAAAATGCACTTATAGGATGGGAATCTCATGGACCGAGGATCATCAAAGCCTCCTTCAGAACAAAGAGAGAGGGCATTACAATGAACATCATCCAATGCTATGCGCCGACCAACGACTACGATGAAGACGCTAAAAACCAATTCTACGATAGGCTGCAGTCGATCTTCGAGAAGTGCCCAACAAAGGACCTGACCATTCTAATGGGAGATTTCAATGCCAAGGTTGGAAAGGACAACACTGGATACGAAGACGTCATGGGACAACATGGACTGGGAGGAAGGAACGAAAACGGTGAGAGATTTGCAAACCTATGTGCCTTCAATAAACTGGTCATAAGTGGCACCATATTCCCACACAAAAACATACACAAAGCCACTTGGATTTCACCGGATCACACTACACAGAATCAAATCGACCATGTCTGCATCAACAAAAAGTTCAGGAGGACGATGGAGGATGTGAGAACCAGGAGAGGAGCTGATATAGCATCCGATCACCATTTGCTGGTCGCCAAGATGAAACTAAAACTCAAGAAGCACTGAACAATGGCGCGGACAACATCACAAAAGTTTAACACGGCCTTTCTTCGAGATGCTGACAAACTCAACGAATTTAACGTAGCCCTCAGCAACAGGTTCGAGGCCTTTCATAACCTACTCAATGAAGAGGGAACCACCATAGAGAGCAGCTGGAAAGGTATCAAGGAGGCAATCGTTTCAACATGTCAGGAGGTTCTGGGCCAAAAGAAGCATCATCACAAGGAATGGATCACTGTTGGTACACTGGATAAAATTGAAGCAAGGAGGAACAAGAAGGTAGCAATCAATATCAGCCGAACAAGAGCAGAAAAAGCCAAGGCACAAGCCGAATACACAGAGGCAAACAAGCAAGTGAAGAGGAGCATCAGGACCGACAAACATAAATATGTGGAAGATTTAGCGATGACAGCGGAAAAGGCTGCAAGAGAGGGAAACATGAGACAACTGTATGATACAACAAAGAAACTTGCTGGAAATTACCGTCAACCAGAAAGACCAGTGAAAAACAAGGAAGGCAAAGTAATCAACGATATTGAAGAACAACGAAACAGGTGGGTAGAACACTTCAAAGAACTCTTGAATCGACCAGCTCCACTGAACCCACCCAACATCGAAGCAGCACCCACAGACCTCCCAATCGATATTGGCCCACCAACAATTGAAGAGATCAGCATGGCCATTAGACAAATCAAGAGTGGCAAAGCAGCGGGACCAGACAACATCCCGGCAGAGGCACTGAAAGCAAATGTAACAGCAACTGCCAAGATACTCCACATCCTCTTCGGTAAGATTTGGGACGAAGAACATGTACCAACAGACTGGAAAGAAGGACTTCTCATCAAGATACCAAAGAAAGGCGATCTGAGCAAGTGCGACAACTACAGAGGCATCACTCTCCTCTCAATACCAGGAAAAGTCTTCAACAGAGTATTGTTAAACAGGATGAAGGATTCCGTGGACGCTCAACTTCGAGATCAACAAGCTGGATTTCGTAAGGATAGATCGTGCACAGATCAAATCGCAACTCTACGTATCATTGTGGAACAGTCAATCGAATGGAATTCATCACTGTACATCAACTTCATCGACTACGAGAAGGCATTTGATAGCGTGGACAGGACGACACTGTGGAAGCTTCTTCGACACTACGGTGTGCCTGAGAAGATAGTAAATATCATACGGAACTCCTATGATGGACTAAACTGCCAAATCGTCCACGGAGGACAACTCACCGACTCGTTCGAGGTAAAGACCGGTGTTAGGCAAGGTTGCCTACTCTCACCCTTTCTCTTTCTCCTGGTGATCGACTGGATTATGAAGGCGTCAACATCTGGAGGAATGCACGGGATACAGTGGACAGGCAGGATGCAGCTTGACGATTTAGACTTCGCGGATGATCTGGCTCTTCTATCACAAACGCAACAACAAATGCAGGAGAAAACGACCAGTGTAGCAGCAGCCTCAGCAGCAGTAGGTCTCAATATAAACAAAGGGAAAAGCAAGACTCTCCGATACAATACAATATGCACCAATCCAATTACACTTGACGGAGAAGCTTTGGAGGATGTGGAAATCTTTACATATCTGGGCAGCATCATTGATGAACACGGTGGATCAGATGCAGATGTGAGGGCGAGGATCGGCAAAGCAAGAGCAGCATACCTACAGCTGAAAAACATCTGGAGCTCAAAACAATCGTCAACCAACACCAAGGTTAGAATTTTCAATACAAATGTCAAGACAGTTCTTCTGTATGGGGCAGAGACGTGGAGAACTACGAAAGGCATTATCCAGAAGATACAAGTGTTCATTAACAGTTGTCTACGCAAGATACTTCGGATCCGATGGCCAGACACTATCAGCAACAAGTTACTGTGGGAGAGAACAAACCAGATTCCAGTGGAGGAAGAAATCAGGAAGAAGCGCTGGAAGTGGATTGGGCACACTTTGAGGAAATCACCCAATTGTGTCACAAGACAAGCCCTCATATGGAATCCTGAAGGTCGAAGGAGAAGAGGAAGACCAAAGAACACATTACGCCGAGAAATAGAGACAGACATGAGAAGAATGAACAAGAACTGGAAAGAACTAGAAAAGAAGGCCCAGGACAGAATGGGTTGGAGAAAGCTGGTCGGCGGCCTATGCTCCATTGGGAGTAACAGGCGAAAGTAAGTAAGTAAGTAATTTTTAGCAAGGTAGCTTGTTCTACAAAGGAGCCGTCGTTTGATAAAACTGATATCAAGTCATGAGATTTGGTATGCGGAAAATGCCCCATGATTGAAAAACGTTCCCGATTCTCCACGTTGGCAGTCAACAATAGGTAAACGAAGACGAGAGAAAAAGTCATTTGTTTTTCTTGTCTTGGAAAAGACCACAGACTATTGGCTTGTAAAACTCGTGTCGTGCGTAATATCAAAGGTTATCGAGATCGGCATCACCCACTGTTACGTAAATCGATGACAGTTCGGGGTACTTTAAGTGAGTAGTTAACAGAAAGTCGCTGCGAGTACACAAAGTCATCAATAGGGAGTGTGTTTGCGGGCCTAATTCCTGTACAGCCTAAAGCTGGAGTGAAGGATGTTTGCGGATATGCATTCCTAGACGACGGCTCAGATACTATCCTAGTCAAGTCAAGTACCGTACAACCTTCAGGATTATCGTTGGAAAGTGAGTCGATTGCCATCAAAACGATAATCCGAAATCGACTAGTCAGACCGACAAACAGAGCTTTAGAAGCCTACTTATTAGACGAAAACGAATGTATGTTTATCAAACAGGCCGTTAGAATAGATGACTTGCCGGTTCATAGACCAAGAAAACCTGTGAAAGGCAGTGCTAAGAAACGATCTCGTCTTATGAATTTGACTTGGTCGGAGTTGGTAGACGGCGAAATTATGTTTCTCACTGGGAGTGACGTGCCTGAAGTCCATTGGATCTTGAACTCAAGGTTAGGTGGAGGGAAAAGTCTTCATGCTACTTGGACACTGCTGGGATGGGTACTTTTCGGACCAACAGGCTTCAACAAAAATGATAAAAGGACTATAAACAATATTTCTCAAACTGACGACCCTGTAGAACACCTAAATAATATACATAAGCGTGAATAAAAATAATATGTTCGCGATATCCTAATGAGTATGAAAATCAGATTCTCTGACGTTTCGTGATTCAGTGTAAGACACTTCTTCAGAGAATAACCAAATTAAATTAACCCAAGTTTAATTAGTACAAGGGAACAAAGTAAGAATATTAGGTACGATCAACCAAAGACCGCTTTGACCAAGTCAGTGTCATATCATACCGGTCAAGGTAGTTTATATGATGCACGTTTGTATGTATGGTAAAGGATGAAAAAAGACTGTGACATTTGTGACGATAAAGGACGGTTTAATTTGTATACACGAAAATAGTGTGAAATGTGAGTAGAATCAGACATGGTAGTTTGGAGAGGTAGTCCAAGTCGAATGGATAGTGAGACCTTCTTCTCTACTGAGGGCAGTAGGATGAGGCAATATATAGAAGACTTCAACTACTTGCTTTTTTTGTAGCTAGAAAAGCCTTTTTGTATTGCTTTGATGCTTTTAGTATCCTTTTTATGGTTGTTGAAAGTGGCACGCCGGTGTAACTTAGGGTTTTCCAGTTTTTCAGGATTATTAGGTGGTTTCTTTGTGTACTTTAGATGTTCTTTGACTGAAGTCAAGATTCCCCAAGATGACTCTCCAATATAGATGGTATCACAATCTATACATCTCTAATTTGTAAACATGATTCTGAGTTGGTGAAGAAGATATGTAGTTTTGGTAGGTGGTTTTCATGTGGGTTTGTTCTTGAAGCTAGATAGTCTATTTGTAGAGCCCCCACCGTTCTTCCGAACGACATCCTCAGCAAAAACCTCAGATAAGAGTGAAGTGTTTGAACTTCTCCACATACTCTC